CAGTGGGCCACGATCGTGCCATTGCGCTCCAGCTTAGGTGACGAGAGTGAAACCCTATCTCAAACATATATATAAACATACATTATAAAAACACAAATAAACTAACAAAGAACATTGATACTATGGAGTGAAATTAGTACTATTGCTATAAAGATAACTGAAAATATGGATGCAGATTTGGAACTGTGTAAAGAGCAGAGTTTGGAAGTGTATTGAGGGCTTGGAAGAAGACAGGAAGATGAGGAAAAGTTTGAAACTTCTTAGAGACTGGTTAAATAGTTGTGATCAAGCTGATAGAAATATGGACAATGAAGGCCAGGTTGATGAGATCTCAGATGGAAATGTGGAAGTTATTGGGGACAGGAGTAAATGTGACTCCTGTTATACCTTAGCAAAGGACTTGGCTGCATTGTCCATGCCCTAAGTCTTTAAGAAAGTTTGAACTTAAGGGAGACGACCTAGGGTATCTAGTGGAAAAAAATTCTAATCAGCAAAGCATTCAAGAAGTGACCTGGCTGCTTCTAACAGCCTATTATAAGATACAGGAGCAAAGAAATGACTTAAAGCTGAAACTTACATTTAAAAAGGAAGCAGAGTGTAAAAGTTTGGAAAAGTTACAATCTGACAATATTGCAGAGAAGGAAAGATCATTTTCAGAAGAGGAATACAAGCAGACTGAAGAACAACCACTTCCTAGAGAGATTTGCATGACTGAAAGAAAGCCAGGTGCTAATATTCAGGAAAATGGGAAAAAGCCTTGAAGGCATTTCAGAAATCTCTAAGGCAGTTCCTCCCATCAAAGGTCCAGAGGCCTCAGAGAAAAGGATGGTTTCAGTGGCCAGGCTTGGGGCACCACTTCCCTGCTCAACCTTGGGACACTGCTGCCCACATCCCTGCTGCTCCAGCTACAGCTGTGGCTCAAAGAGCCCCAGGTACAGCTCAGGCTGCTACTACAGAGAGTGTAAGCTGTAAGCCTTGTTGGCTTCCAGGAGATGTTAAGCTTGAAGGTGTGCAGAATGCAAGACTGAAGGTTTGGCATCTTCCACCTACATTTCAGGGGATGTATTAAAAAGCCTGGTGTCTAGGCAAAAGGCTGCTGCAGGAGCAGAGCCTTCACAAAGAGCCTCTACTAGGGCAGTGTGGAAGGGAAATGTGGAGGTTGGAGCCCATAAATGGAGTTATTATTGGGGTATTGCCTAGTGGAGCTGTGGGAAGTGGGCTGCTACCCTCCAGATCCCAGAATTGTAGAGCCACTGGCAGCTTGCACCCTGAGCCTGGAAAAGCTGCAGGCACTCAACTCCAACCTCTGAGAGCAGCCATAGGGGCAGCACCATGCAAAGCCACAGAAGCAGAGCTACCCAAGGCCTTGGGAGCCCAGCCTTCACATTAGTGTACCCTGGAGTAAAAGGAGATTATTTTGAAGCTTCAAGATTTAATGACTGTCCAGCTGGGGTTCAGACTTGTGTGGGGACTGTTGCTCCTTTCTTTTGACCAATTTTACATTTTTTGAATCAGAATATTTACTGACTGCCTGTAACATCATTGTTGGAATCTTGAAAGTAAACAACTTAGTTTTGATTATACAGTCTCATAGGTGGAAGGAACATGCCTTGAGACTCAGATGAGACTTCGTATTTTGGACTTTTGATTGAGTTGATGCTGAAATGAGTTAAAACTTTTGGAGAGTAACGGAAAGTCATGATTATATTTTGCAATTTGAGAAATACATGAGATTTCCAGGGCCAGGACAAAATGATATTGTTTGGATGTTTGTCTCCTCCAAAGCTTATGTTGAAATTTGACCTCCAGTGTTGGAAGTGGGGCCTCATAGGAAGCGTTTGGGTCCTGGGGGTGGATTCCTCATTAATTACTTGGTGCCTTCTTCATGGCAATGAGTGAGGTCTCACTCTGGGATCACGTGAGAACTACTTGTTTAAGGACCCTGGAACCTACCCCTTCTCTCTCTTACTCCATCTCTTACCATGTAACATACATGCTTCCCCTTCACTTTCTAGCATAAATGGAAGCTTCCTGAGGCCCTCACCTGAAGCAGATACTGGCACCATGCTTCTTGTACCGCCTGCAGAACTGTGAGCCAAATAAACCTCTTTTCTTTATAAATTACACAATCTCAGATGTTTCTTTATAGCAATGCAAACAGAGAAACACACAGGGTCAAATTTCACTTTGCAAAGTCTGTAGCAAGTTTTCTGGACACAATCAAATATAAATAGGAAGATTAAAAAAATCTGAGATATAAAATAAATGTACATGCTTTATCTTCAAAATGAGGCTATTGAGGTAGGTGATTTTTTTTTTTTTTTTAATTTTCAGGTTAGAAATTATAACATAGGCCAAGTCACTTGACAAATAAAATAAAAGAAGAAAGAATACAATTAATACATAAAATTAAAAAAATATATTTTCTTTTTCAACTTTTATTCTGGGTTCAGTGGGTACATATGCAGGTTTGTATGTGGGCAAACTGTGTGTTCCTGGGGTTTGATACGCAAATGGTTTTGTCACTCGGGTAGTGAGTACAGTACCCTATGGGTAGTTTTTTACCCTCTCCCTTCTCCCATCATCTTTCCACCCTTCATCCACAAGTAGGCCCCAGTGTCTATTGTTTTCCACTTTGTATCCATGTGTACTCAAGTTTCAGCTTCCACTTATAAGTAAGAACATACATTATTTTATTTTCTGTTCTTGTTTTAAATACTCTTGGGATAATGACCTCCAGCTGAATTCATGTTCTTGCAAATGACATTATTTCATTATATTTTATGGCTGCATAGTATTTCATGGAGTGTATGTACCACATATTTTTTTTATCCCATATACTGTTGATAGACATCTGGGCTGACTCCATATCTTTGCTATTGTGAATGGTGCTGCAAAGAACAAACAAGTGTATGTGTCTTTTCATTACAGTGATTTATATTCTTTTGGGTATATACCCAGTAATTAGATTCCTGGGTTGAATGGTAGTTCTGTTTTAAGTTTTTTTGAGAAATCTCCATACTGCTTTCCACAGTGACTGAACTAATTTACATTCCCACCAGCAGTGTATAAGCATTCCCTTTTCTCTGCAACATCACCAGAATCTGTTATTTTATGGCCAAGTGTGTGGTCAATCTTAGAATATATGCTATGTACAGTTAAGAAAAGCATATATTTTGTTGTTGGGTGGAGTATTCTATAGATGTCTTTTAGGTCCATTTGGTTAACCATTAAGTTTAGGCCCTGAATATCTTTGGTAGTTTTCTGCCTTGATGATCTGTTTAACACTAGGATGGTGACATGATCAGGAAGAGCATAGAAGGTTCACATCCCTTCCCACATACCTCACCCTATGCGTATCTTCATCTGTATCTTTTATGATATCCTTTATAATAAACCAGTAAATGTAAACAAAAAAATAAATAAACTATACAATCAAGTCTACGTAACAACCTAACAAAGCTAAGAGTGTGATGACAAGATCCCCCTAACACCATCTGTTAGGGGAGTATTGAAGTCTTCCACTATGACTGTGCCACTGTATCAGTCTCTTTGTAGGTCTCTAAGAAGTTGTTTTATGAATCTGGGTGCTCCCATGTTGGGTGCATATATATTCAATATATTAAGTCCTGTTGACTCAAGTCTTTTATCATTACTTAATGGCCTTCTTTGTCCTTTTTGATTATTGTTGGACTGATGTCTATTTTTTCTGAAATAAGAATAGCAATCCCTGCTTTTTTGGGATTTTCTTTTTTTTGACAGATGTTTTTCCTTCCTTTTACTTTGAGCCTACGAGTGTCATTGGAGGACAGATAGGCTTTTTGAAGATGGCATACCGTTGGGTCTTTCATCTTTACCCAACTTGCCATTCTGTGTCTCTTAAGTGGGGTGTTTAGCCCATTTATGTTCAAGGTTAATATTAGTATTGGAAGATTTGATCTTGTCATCACACTGTTGGTTGTTATGTAGACTTGATTGTATAGTTGATTTATTTTTGGTTTACATTTACTGGTTTATTATAAAAGATATCACAAAGGATACAGATGAAGATATATATAGGGTGAGGTATGTGGAAAGGGATGTGAACCTTCTATGCCCTTCCTGCTCATGTCACCGTCCAGGAGCCTCCATGTTTTCAGCTTTTACAACTCACTGAACCTTGTTATCTTGGGATTTTTTGGAAGCTTCATTATACAAGCATTACTTGTCTCAGGGTACAGGCTGGAACCCTCTCATGAGCTGGTCTTAACATCCACAATCAGAAAGGTGGGGGAAGGAAGGAAGGAGACATTCAGTGGCCTACCCCTGAGGCTTAACACACTCAGTATTATAACAAAATACTTTAATAAGTGTAATAGGAGTTATAAGCTACAAACCATTGATGAAAACCAATATATACCATAACACCACAGCCCACCCCCTGGCTTTCAACCATGGATCATTTATATCAAAATATATATGTTATATAAAATCATTATTAATTATTCCAGTCCATCATGTTGTATAAATGTCTCCCACTAAGAGACAATATCATCTATTGCTTTGAGACTATTTTGAGTTGTTAATGTAATTTTGAATTTACCTCAGTTAATAAACCAGTTGTTCATTTCTTTAATCGCAGCTAGTATTTCTCCTTCTCTCCATTAATACCCAAACCTTTTTCAACTTTGGAAGAGACATTAGAATCGCCACTGTGCTGTTCTAGATTGCAGGTAGCAATACAAGTCTGGCAAGTAGCTCCTCCTCAATCCACTTCCATTCAGATAGAGTAAGGTTACATAGGTGCAGAACTAGTGAACTATTTTTACCATCAGGCAATATAGTTGCATTCACTGTTAGCCCCAATTTTTCTAGATGGGGTGAAGGCACAACCCACCCCCATAGTGCCCTTAGGAATTTTGACATAAGGTTTAAAAATACAGTTGTACATTTTGCTTAGAAAACACTCCTGCTATTTAAACTTGTAGCTGCTTTCCAGATTCTAGGACCACTGCATCAGGTAGAAAAAAATAAAATATTTTATTTCTGAGGTAATTTGAGAAAGAAAGAAAGAATTGTAGTTGTTATACAAGCATGTAAGCCAGCCCTTCATGCTTTTATCTTTGCCTATTTTAGACAATAAATGTTTCAATTGCCTGTTCCACTTCTCTGTCAAGCTATTACTCTTAGCAGGATATCACTCTACCCATTGTTGGACATTACGGGCTGTACAGTGTGTTCCTTGATCTGAAGAAATGATGAGTGGTCACGCAAATCCATACAATATCTTCTGTTCTATACTTTTTATGGCACTCTGAACATTATTATCTTCAGTTGGATAAACAAAGCCCACTTTAGAGCCAGTGTCTATTCCTGTCAAGACCCATTTTAGCCCTCTAGGGCTACAAGCATTAGTCTCACTTGCCAGCTATGTTCAGGGCCTTTCAACCAGAGAATCTTCCCCATAGCCATCAGCAGTCTCTGTCGCTCTTGCTGAAAAACAGAACAGTTCTTTCTGGGATTTTGTGCCCGAGAAAGTGAAGAAGGAACATGTCTTGATTCATCCCATTTCTGTACTGCTACAGTACTCCCATATCCAACTGTTTCACTGATGCAAGTGGCCACATCAAGGGAGCACATGGGGATAATCTGCTTGTCAATTCCAATCACCTTCCGAATCCAGAAGGGAGTTCTTCTGTTGGTCATTGACTTGTTGGTCATTGACTTGTTCTGCTTTAATTCACCCCTTAAATCTCCATAGGGCCTTGCTCTATAGAAACATTCTTTTAATAAGACATGTTTCCATCACCCCCTTGCCTGAGTGTGTGGCCAGGCCATGGTCACTGCCCATGAGCCAGTAAAAACCCAAACACAGGGGCTTCTATCATTGTTCATTTTTTTTCCATCACTGTTAGAAAAACAGCATGCAATTCATCTCACTGAGCAAATCTACTTTTACCTTCTTTTATCAAAGTAGCAGAAAATGGTGTCCATTTACCTTAGAATTACCATTCCCAAATCAAGCAACTCGTGTTCAGTCAGTTGAGAGCTGTTTCTTGAACACTGAAGAATCCAACAGCTTCTTACACAGTTCCACAGTCAGTCCTATGGGAAAAGAAACACATAACATTTCATAGGAAGGGAGTACATGCCCCTTAAGTGGAAATTCTCTAGTTCAAAATCCCAGTAGTTGTTGATGGGAGGCATTCAAGGTTTTCACCATAAGCCCCAGGAAGTGCTCCACAGAGGGTTATTAAGGGGAGCATTTGTCCCTACCTGCACTCTAGCCTCTACTTTGCAATGTGTGGGCTTGGGCAGTCTTACTGGTTCACATTTAGCATATCTAATTAATATTGCTTGAAGAGTAGATTTACATGCCTTCTGTTTTATAGTACCAAGTAGAGGAAACATTCCCCAATCAGATACAGTGATCATTCTCATGATACAATCAGGTAAAAGAGATGCAACCACTTCAAATGAAGTATGTTTAAATATGCCAACTTTCACACTCTTATCAGACCTTGCATTTTTATGTTCTAGTTTCAGGAACTTCTTTCTCTATTCCCAGACCATTTTACACTCTCTTGTGCAAAAGGCTTTTGGTCCCCAAGCAAGGGTTGAGTCAAAGGACCCCTTTTTGTCAATCTTTATCTTTATTAGTCTGCCCTACTATTGACCCAGGTAATTTCAGATCAGGTTTTTCATTGTAATCTCTGCCTTCCAGCCTTTAAAATTTCTCCAAACTGGGAGAAACGCAGCAAACTTGTTTGAAGCCCTTTAATGTTGGGGAACAAGAAGGGGCTCCCTTTGATCCACCCAAATTTGGATAGTATTCTATTAAGACCTTTGTTTTAACCCCATCAATTTCTATTGTATTCATTTCATTTCTTAGAACCGTATAAAGATTTCCACCCTGATGGGATGAGTCCCATGACTCTCTCCCTTCTTTTTATTCTTAGCTTCACCCCATCAATATTTTCTTTATTCACCTTATTGCCTAATAATTATTTAAAAATTTCCACATTCTTTGTATAAGTCCTTTGAAGGTCCCTTTTGCCTTTACCATTCTCTTGTTAATTAACCTGATGCTTATATTAGCACCTGTAAAAGCCATGAGGGGAAGCTGATATCGTAAATTTGATACAACTTCTCTAACTGTTTGATTCTGCAGGAGTAACATCACATGGGGTGCCCATGTAGAATGACCCCTCCCACCTTAAAATAGCATTTACTATGACCTGGATAACAGGCATATTCAGGGAGTGAATATCCCTATCATCATAAAGCCAGTCTCACATGACTTGAATACAAAGCATAACAGCTACCTCATCTGTGGTGTTCTACTTGGCTTGCATACAAAACATATCAGCTACCTCATCTGTGACGTTCTACTTACATTTATAGGTAGATTTGGACAGTCCACTTTTCAGGGTAAACAGACCTTACAGTGGCTTTTTCCCAGTCTGCCAGGCTTGCTGTCTTCAGGAATAACCTCCTGTGTGTCTGGATCACATACACCCCTTTGCAATTATTTCATAGTGATCTGTGGGTCCTGCATCAACCTAAAAATGCTCTTCCACTCTGAAGGCACTGCCCCTACATTAGTGGATCTTCTAATGCATGTTAGCAAAGGTTCTTCAGGAAGCTGATAATACTGATTTATACAATGAAAGAATTCTTTCACACTATACGCTCTGGTTTCAATAGTTACTTGGTTTTTCCCTTTCCCCACATTGACTACCTATTTTGTAACTGCAGATCTTAGAGGTATATTGTGTTGCCTCCGCATATTTGGGTGGTGGCTTTGAGGCTGGTGGCCTAAGCTCAGACTTACTAAAATCTGAGTTTCATCTAGCGTCAAAGGCAGACCCAACATTCTCTTTTAGTTTCATTTTAGCTATTACAGATAACAACAACAGAAGGATTGAATGTTTCACTTTTCTTTTATTCATTTACATTTCCTTACACATCCAGTGAACCAATTCCTAGGGAGTTGGATTCATCTCTAAATTACACTGGTAACTTTAGCTTTTAGTAACTGATCTCAACGCAACTGTGTCTTCATACCATGAGTGATCACATGGCCACCGAGGAATCAAAAGTTTCTCATCTCCCATGCTTTTATCCTTTCTATATCCAAATCTGTGAGCCAAGGCCTTTCCAGCAAATACTGCTTCACTGACGCTATCTACCTAAAGATAGTGTCAGATCCCACAGATCGAGGGCTCAGTCCCCAAGACTATCTCTCCCTCACACCAGTGACATGCCCAGACGCCCAGAAATTCTGACTAATCAACTTCAAGTTGGGGTACCCATGATCCTCTCTTTGGGTTTGATTAATTTGCTGGAGTGACTCACAGAATTCAGGGGAACACATATATTTACTGGTTTATTATAAAGTGTATTGCAAAGGATACAGATGCAGAGATGCATAGAGTGAGGTACAGGGGGAAGAGGTGTGGAGCTGCCATGCTCTCCCTGGGCATGCCACCCCCAGAAATTTCCATGTGTTCAGCTATTCAGAAGCTCCTATAGTTGCTTTATAGTGTCAATGGGGTATGCAGTTACATGTGTTTTTGTGGTGGCCAGTTACAGTCTTTTGTTTCTGTGTTTAGCACTCCCTTCAGGACCTCTTGTAAGGCAGGTCTGGTGATAATGAATTCTCCTAGTATTTCCTTGTCTGAAAAGAATATTATTTCTTCTTTGCTTGTGAAGTTTAGTTTGGCTACATAAGAAATTCTTGGTGGTAATTTCCTTTCCTTTCTTTTCTTTTTGTCTTTTCTTTACATTTTTGGAGACAGGGTCTTGCTCTGTTGCCCAGGCTGGAGGGCAGTGGTGTGATCATAGCTCACTGCAACCTCAAACTTCTGGGCTCAAGCAATCCTCCTGTCTCAACCTCCAGTATAGCTGGGACAACAGGCACAAACCACAATGCCTGGCTGGAATTTCTTTTCTTTAAAGATGCTGAATATAAGTCCCAAGTCTCTTCTGGCTTGTAGGGTTTCTGCTGAAAAGACCGCTATTAGCCTATGGGGTTTCCTTTGTAGGTGACCTGTCCCTTCTCTCTAGCTGCCTTTAAATTTTTTTTCTTTTGCATTGACATTGGAGAATCTGAAAACTACGTCTTGGGGATAGTCATCTTGTATAGTATCTCACAAGAGTTCTCTGAATTTGCTGAATTTCCATGTTGACCTCTCTATAGTGAGGTTGGTGACATTTTCATGGACAATATCCTTTCATATGTTTTCCAAGTTCCTTACTCTCTTTCAATCTCTCTCAAGAATGTCAGTGAGTTGTAGGTTTTGTCTTTTTACATAATACTATATTTCTCCAAGTTTTTATTCATTTTTTTATATTCTGCTTTCCATATTTTTGTTTGTCTGCATTGATTCACAAGATTGGTTTTTCAAGTAAGAGACTTTTTCCTCAGCTTAGTCTATTCTGGTTTTAATCCTTCCAATTGCATTCTGAAATTTCTGTGGTGAACTTTTATTTCCAGAAGTTGTTTGGTTCTTTCTTAAAATGGCTATGTCATCTTTCAGCTCTTGCACTGTTTTACTGTTTTCCTTAGATTGGCTTTCAACCTTCTCCTGTATCTTAATGAGCTTCTTTGCCCTCCAGATTCTTAATTCTATGTCTGTCATTTCAGCTATTTTACTCTTATTAAGAACCATTGCTGGGGAGCTAATGTGGTAGTTTGGAGGTAAGAAGATGCTCATGCTTTTAGAGTTGCCAGAGTTCGTGCACTAGTTCTTTCTCATCTGTGTGGGCTGCTGTTCCTTTTATCTTTGATGTTGCTATCTTTTGGATGGGATATTTTGCTTTCATTTTCTTTGATACTATTGAGGGTTTGACTGTGGCACAAGTTGAGTTTAGTCCATCGGCTTCCTTTCTGTATTATTTTAGTGGCCTAAGGCTCAGCTCAGAACTCCTGGACTGTATGCTCTAACCCTGGTTAGGGGGCTGTGACCGAGCCTAGGGATTTGTTGTCTGGCCCCATGAGTTTAAGCACCACTGTGCTGGGGAGGCCCAGGTGTCCCCAGTTCACTGGCACCAACACTCCCATGAGGCTGCTGGCAAAAGTGCTCCAGCAGGGTGGTGATGGGCCCCTGCGTGTGTGCATGCTGGTGGAGCAGCTTCGAGTTCATATTTGCATGCATGCCAGTGGGTACACACAGAAATAAAATTTGAAAAAATAAAAGGAATTGATAACATCAAAAGATGAGAAGAGAGCTCTATAGCCTCAGATGTTAATGTAGTCTTCCTCCAAGATTAATTCCATTCACAAGCAAGATTTTCTGACAGATAAAATTGAGGTAATAAATATATAATAATGTTTTATACTTATTAAGCACTTTTCCTCCTGAGAGTTCAAAGTGCTTCCAAATCCATTCTCTTCCACCCTACACTGCAACCTGAGAAGTAAGCAAGTATATATATATATAAGAAGTTGTAGAGATAAAGAAGACAATTAAAACAATAAAGTTAATAATTCCAACACAAGCTAACTCCAACAGGAGTTAGTAATGCTGTGGTTTCATTTTAAACTTAACAAAATTATTTTGAATTTTCCCCATAAACTTTACCAAAGTGATATATTTGGCTCAAATGAATCCTCTTTAATTATACATATAATCACAAATTGTCATCTGGGAGATTCGTAGGATAACAGCTCTTAGCTGTTCCTATTACCTTGTATAAGGCAAGCAAGTGAGGCCAGGAGCTACTATATTCAGTAGTATTGTACAGATGCTCTTGGACTCACTATGGGGTTACGTCCCTATAAACTCATTGTAAATTGAAAATATACTAAGTTGAAAATGCATTTAATACACTTAACCTACTGAACATGATAGTTTAGCCAAACTTACCTTAAACATGCTCAGAACACTTACATTAGCCTACACTAGGCAAAATCATCTAATGCAAAGTCGATCTTATTACAAAGTGTTGAATATCTTATATAATTTATTGAATAATGTACTGAAGGTGAAAAGCAGAATAGTTGTATGAGTACCTGAAGTATTGTTTCTACTGATTATGTATCATTTTGACACTATCATAAAGTTTAAAATTCCTCTGCTTTTTTGAGGAAAGGGCATTATCGTAAGTAACAAGAACTACTGGAACTTGTCATTCATTCATTAATCTGGTTTGAATCTGAAGCTAGCCACACCTAGCCTAAATTATGTATATCAAGGGACACTCTAATTCTCTGCTAACCCTCACCCCTCCTCACACACACTTAGTTGTGCTACAGTGATTTAAGATGGGTTTAACCTATCACAGTTTCAGGTCAATTGAAGGACCATTTGTTCAAAATCTGCATCTCTTTTCTTGCTTCCCCAGCCTTTGTTTGTAACCGCTAGCTAACGCAATAGAAACACCTGCCAATCAATCTAAGGTAGACTGTGGTTTTTGGGGTTGGAGGAGGTGGAGGTGGAAGATGGTATTGGAAAGGTCTTAGTTCTTATTGTTTAAAAAGTGACATTTGACTTTCTGCCAAAAGGGGCCCCTACCTCAGGATAAATGTTTTGATAAAGTTCTGTACAAATGTTGGAAATGGTAAAGAAAACTTGCTCTCTGCCTAGACGTCATAAGCACATAACAAGTAGAGCTAACACTGAAGCTGCAACATGGTAGTTTTGGGGAGGTTAACCTGGACCTCTCTGGGTCCAAACACACTTTGGAGTGAGCGGCACAGTCAGTGCTTACATAAAAGCAGAGGCAGATTTATTATTTATGTAGATCCATGCAAATGAGTATGTGAGTGATTTTCCAAGCATATAAAATGAAAGGCTTCAAATGGTAATATGGACTTTGAGAGGGCACTTTATTCACCTTTCTATCTCTAACCATATAGAAGATTTTATTTTACAAAGCTACAGCAATTGTTTCTTCTTTCTTTAAAACAAATCTCCATACAAAGAGACGCCACAAACACTTGTACCAGCCTTATGCTTCTTATGCAAATGACTTAACCATAATAGAGACAGGGTTACCATAGTAAATAATTTCCTTTTCCATCACTTCATGCAGTGAGCAGGGCAAACAAAGCCAGCAACAAGAGGCCTTGCACATGGCATGCACAGCTGCTAACCAGAGAACAGATTATATGCATATTTAGCACAGAAAGGATTCTAAAGCTTGGAACAATCTTCTCTCTCTCTCTCTCTCTCTGACTGTCTCTCTCTCCTTCCCTCTCTCTCTCTCTCTCACACACACACACACACACACACACACACGCACACACACATCAAAGCAATCAGTTAATAATACAGAAGCTAACCAAAAGGATTATGTGGGAGTTGTTTGCATTTATAATGTCTAACAATGTAGCATTTGTCTAAGGAAATGTTCCTTGTTATAATAAAAAAAATGAGGCTCAGTTCTTACTTTTTCTTGCAAAAAATTCATATTTCACTGAAAGGATACAGCCCCTACCAACCCAGTTTCACCTAAAACAAGTTTTAAAGCCACTTCTCCTAATGTACCTGCAAGGATTAAATCCATCTTAACACTGCTGAAAAAAACATTGCTCAGAAGCTACTACAGTCAGGGCCACTGCTGCTGCTTGACTTAAGGCCACCATTGTTCATCTATTGTATGCCATTGGGGCTGTCATTCCCTTACACCTCCAGGCTTCTGGGGCAGTTACTACCTTCTCCACTGACCATGTTTCCTCCGATCAATGAAGTTTAAGAGTCTTAACACCACCGCAACTGCTCTTTTCATATTCTGATACTAGGCACTACTGAGCCAGAGCTGTCCCAGCTAGAATTTGGTCTTTACTAGGATGTTTTAGGTTTTTCCTTTAACTGCCAGACAGAGGCTTTTCCTCTCATAACTGCTATTCCTCAGTTGACACATACTCCTCATAAAGTAACCCTCTGAATCATAGTTACTTATACTAAGGATATAGACCCCAGAGATCCACACAAGTTGTGGAAGAGATTTCTGAAAGGGTGTGGCATAGGCTCTTGCATAAATGCTCTTCTCTTCATAATGTCCATATATTGTGCCTGTGGCTACTAATTCCAGTTAGGCCCAGGGCTGACATTTGATCTTGTACTAATTTGAAACAATTGTAATAAATGTCTACTCTCCAAAACAGAGGTTTACAATCTGACTACATAGCACATTCCCCCAGGAAATTATAAAAATGCATATTTTCAGATCCCACTCCAGCCCTACTGAACAGAATATGCATTTTAAAAACCTACATAAACCTGACTTGGGAGTGACATCAACAAAATGGCAGAGGGAAGCTCAAGACCTTATTCTCCTACAGAAATATTGTAAAACAAAACAAAACAAAAAACTAGATAACTGACTAAACTAACTTTATAGGAGCTCTTAAAATCAAAGATCTATAGTTATCAAGCCAATGACTAATACAGAAAAAGCCACATTAAAACATTAAAAATTTGTGGCATTTTTACCTCCCTTGCCCTACCCCCTCCATGGCATGTCATAGTTTGGTGTAAACAGTGACCAGATTCCCAGTTCCCTTCCATGAACTGGAGAATGCAGAGCAGACCAAATTTTCAACTTTATAACCTGACTGAAGGCTGT